CACCTTCAACTCTGGAGTGACCAAGTTTTCATCGCATACGTAGCCTCGTCATGGAGGGTGGGGGTGCTTTGAAACCCCACCACACGTGACAAGGCTGTACATGTTATATAATCAATGCGGGGAAGTTCCAGAAAATGCGTCCCTCTCAAAACGGACTGTTTGGGGAAAAAAAGTGAAAGTTGTCTCTGCCAAAAGGTCACCAAGCACCCAGCCAGTGGGCTCAGCATTCTCAGGAAATCTGCCTTGACAATAGTCAGCTGCATTCATTATAGGCAGCGATACTCAATCGGAACTTTTTTTACTCGCTCATTCCACCATCTGGCAAGATTGAGCTTTTTCAACTCGAAGGTTTTTCCGCACTCTCCGAATGTCTTCCATCTCATGATCCTCCGAGTTCTGCACTGGTAAAAGAAACACCTCCTCGGCGGGCAGCCGCGGGCTATTAGCCATGTCAGACGGAACGTCTTCCACTCCCCCTACGGCAAATGCCAGATCTACCCCACGAGGCGGCGGAACTGCCGCTGCCGCGAGACCACGACCTCGAGCGGGAATCCAACGCAAGACCAAAGCCGAACGAGAACAATTTGCGAAAGAAGAAGCCGAACGACAAAAGGCTCGAGCGGCTGAGCAAGAGGCGGCCAATCGCGGTGCACGAGGAGGAAGAGGTGCGAGTCGGGGAGGCAGAGGAAGCAGCGCAGCCACGTCACAGAGAGAGGAGCCAGTAGGTGCAGGGGGTATCTTCGGGGCGGGGTCCACTGCAAGGATCTCTACGAGGCCGCGTACAAGCTATGAAGGGTACGGTGAGCTTTTGGAAAGTGGTGTGCGAGGTGGACTCCCAGAAGATGCGCTTGAGGGTGCTTCAGCGTCAGGCAGGGCCACAACCGCAGGCCGCAACGGGACCGGCCATGCAGGAACTTCTGCGGGCGGGAGAGGTGGAATTTCAGGTACAACAGGTGAAGTGTTCGATGCGGCGACGGACGAAGAGCCCGACGACGACCGAAAACGAGACATTGAGCTCATCATGATCTCGAGCGATGACGACGAAGACATGATCACATCAAGCTCAAGAAAAGGGAAACAAAAAACTACGGGTGGCAGCAAAGGAAAGCCTCGCAGAGCGCTGGGTCTACGACCAGTGCGTGCGCCGCGAGCAGACAAAGAAGCCGAAGGGCAGGAAGGAGACACGGCACGCGTCCGCAGCAAGACGAGCCGCCCCGCCATGGGTCAGAAATCCGACGGAGAGACTCAAGATGTCGACAGCAGAAGTGACCGAGACGACGATACCGAGGACGCAGACAATGACTCTCTCCAATTCGTCAAAGAACAGCCCTCTAGTCCCGAAATGAGGAAGCGGACGCTGAAAAAGCAGCTTGGTGCTGCTGGCAGGATCGGGCGGGATATCAAGAGCCATGCGACCGAGACGGCCGAAGAGCGCGCGGAACGAATAAGAGCTATGCAGGACGTACAGAAGCTGAGGGATCTCTTCGTGACCGCACCACCAGCAACCGGTGTGAAAATGGAAGTTGACGAAGACGAAGGGAAATCGTCGTCAGAGGAGTCGTCAGAAGAGGTCATATCCAAAATAAAAGACGGCAAGATGTTCCTCTTCCAACTTCCACCACTCACGCCCTTCCTCGTCGATTCGGCCACGACGCAACCGCACGACGGAGGGGTCAAAGTTGAGCCCGGAACCGACGGCAGCGCCACGGCCGTCGATCTCAATGTCACGAATACCAACGCCGCCGCCGCCGCTGGTGACCCGGACGGCCTGGCCAAAGCGACGAGACCAGACCTGCAGATGGACGGCCTGCTCACGGCTGCCGAGCCGACGCGTCTGCCCGCGGGCATCGTGGGAAAACTGCGCGTCCACAAATCCGGCAAGGTCACCCTGGACTGGGGCGGGACGGACATGGAGGTCCGCTACGGCTCCGAGGTGTCTTTCCTGCAGGACGTTGTCCTCGTCGAGCCCAGGCCCAAGCAAGAAGACGCGGGTGACGGAGGGGACGGGCACGAGAACGGTGGTGGTATTGGTGGTAGCAGTGGCGACGAAGACCACAACAAGGCGGAAGACGAAGAGAAAAAGGACATCAGGGGCACCGTGTACGCCTTGGGCCCCGTGAGGAGGAAGATGGTCCTCATCCCCGACTGGGTCAAGTTATACGACTGACCGACCGACCAAACCACAACCACAACCACAACCACAACTCGTTGCCCGATCATCTCAGCCAGGTCTGGGTTTTTTGTCCGGGTTACTCCACGAAAATCATCGAGTTTAGCCCAGATAGACAAGACAGGCAGGCAGACTAGTCATGCACAATATGTATGCGTAGTCTGGTCCCGTGTCCATCATGGGATAAAACCCCCTCACTCCTGGACCAAGAGAATGGTGGTTTTTTTTTTAAAAAAAAAAAAAAACTAAAAAAAAAACTCCATACACTACCTACGTACATAGGTCCCTAATCTAGATAGACACCCATCCAGGGAAATACCTAGATACCTAGATATCTAGATAGCAAGTGTACCCGAGGTAGGTATGCGATGGGATGCGATGTGATGTGATGTGCCATGACATCCCCTCTGTTCTGTCCTGTCTGTATCTGAAAGACTGCAAAGACCACGCCCCATGCATGAATGCAGTATGCACACTCTCATACCAGATTTTCTTTTTTGAGCCGGATGATTTATCTACCTGCCTGAGTGGGAGGTAGAAACACGTCAATACAGAGAGGGACCTCTGTACTCTATAGAAGAACTAGATATATGCACGTCCTCGGCACTATTACTGGTGTGACAGGACTGTCTTTCTGTCTTTCTGTCTGTATATACCAAGTAGAGTCGATATAAGATAGTTGGCGTAATCTGATGGCTGCACAAATACGAGATAAACACCCATTGTATAGGATCCCATTAGAAGAGGTATTGTGACACTTCAATCTATATACATGTTCCCTATAATGTGCGAAACCATGGCTCTGCTCTATCCAGTCGAGCCTGCAGGTCTTGGACTCGCCAGGATATATATATCCAGAGCTCTGGAGAGATGTATTTCCAATCTCAGGCGCAGATTGCGCACTCGCTCGAGTAACGCCGTTTCCAAACTCCTGAATTTCCATTTCGCCTCCCAAACAGTTCAATTGGTGACTTATCCAATTGTTCATTCCATGTTTCGACGTGGAAGGCACTCCAAAGATGAAACCAATGTTTGGACGTTTCGTTATGTATATGCGTGAGCTTGCTGTGATTGTCCCCTCTTAAACGATGCCGAGTTCTCAAAAATTGTAGTCGCCTTTTTGGGCATATCATTCCCCTATTCGTGGCATTCATAGATAGCTTACGCACATCGTAGCAATGCCCACGGCGAGCAGCGCAAGCGTCCCTGCCTGGACAACGCGGCGCGCGTCGTTGGCAAACGTCGGTGATGGTGCCTTCTTCTGCGCATTTTCGAGAGGTGCAGCTTCCACGTGGATAGTAATGTGGTGGTCAATTTCTTCATCCAGGGTATCAGCAAGTCCCTCTTCGCTCACAGTCGGTTTCTCGACCTTCCCCTTGGGCAATAGCTCAATCAACTCTTTGCCCACGCTCTTGAGTTTCTCCATCCATGATTCCGTCTCTTCCACAGGACCATTCGCGTTTGCGCTGCCGTCTTTTACGGATTTGTCCTCTGCCAAGGGTGCCTGGGTTGGTAGGCTTCTCTTAGTCCTCACCTGTCCGACGGTGCCCGAAATGGTTCCCAATCCAATTGTTCCTGCAACGGCACTGGGCCATTGATCTGGAATCGGCACAAAGGTCTGTGTATACACTACGGGCACTTGCGTGAAATCACCCGGTGCCACTTCTTTCTCGATGTAGTAGGTTGTGATCGGACTTATTTGACTGAAAGTTGGAGCGGCGGCGGCACCTTGGCCTGTGACCTGCCGGACTTTCAGTTCAGGCACTGCGTTGGCATCTAGACCGAGGGGAAGAATTCGGTATTCATTCTCGAGAGGGGTTGGAGTAGGTGTGACCGCCGCGGATGCAGGATAAGGCGCGTTGGCGACAGGGTCGAGCGTTGCGACAGGAATCCAGCGTGCCGTGTCGAGGTTGGCGGGCACTGGTTGCAAGGCGTTATTGTCTATGGGTGGGTGGATATCCAGGGGAACGAAGGCGTAGGAAGTGCTGTAGATGAGGGAAGAGAGGAGGAGTGTCGTGACAGTCTTGGGCGACATTGTGCTGGTTGCGGCTTCAGTGTGGTCTGGTGCAGAGATGAGTGAAGGCCGAGTTGGAAGTTACATCCACTGCGCATGCGAGTATGTCGGTTCAAGGCATGCCCCGTTTTCTGGACAATCGCAGGACTTGACAGATTACGAAAGGTATTCTCGTCAAATGGTCAAAGTAGGAGGAACGCAGAGTTCAAGTCCCTCGAGGCCTAATGTCGGGCAACGGAATCTCAGTGTCGCGGTCCCGACTAGGAGTTGGCTGACATCGAAGCAAAGCCTCAGTAGTGGTCGCGGATGGTCACTGGGAGCCGTCCTGCGGATGCGGACAATCGGGTTGGGGGCGAACAGCTGCTGAGGGCCGAATAACCAAACGAGAGGCTGCAGCTATGGGTGAGGGACCCTGTGAGCAGTACGAGGCAATGGGATTATGAACGAGAGAGGCGTGCAGAACTCAAGTAAGGGAGGGCTGATACAGAAACAAAGCGGTGCTGACGCGTGGCAGGGATGGCCGAGCTATCAAGAAAAGTAACAGATTCGGACTCAGCCACACTAGCCCGATTGGGTCTCCTGGGATACCGGCCGGTCATAAGCCAATCGAAGCTGCAGCTGCTGCCGGAAGATACGATTATCCACTAAAAGATGCACTAAGCCATATATAGACTAGAGCCTTAAAATCACCCAGTTGCCTCAGCCCGTCACGAACAAGTTTGTGTACTGTATCTCGTACTCTATAGCTTGACCAGCATTCGCCAGGACGTCTCAGACCATGAAAGATTTTATTTCTCAGTGAGCGACACACACATATTAGCTGCATGCTGGGGATACAAATCCAACGGTCCAGCCCATTGAGCCCATAATGACAACCAGCAATGCCAATGCAACAGCCACGCTGCTAGCGCCATAGATCCAACTATGTCTTCGACGAAGCCCTTGGAGTTCAGCAACCCACGTACTGACTGTCGTCAAGCACCCGCAAAACCCTTCCATAATCCCTTGAAGCACAGCACAGGCGTTTGATCCGGATGCAGCGATGGTTTGTGAATGTTGCAAATCAAAAGCCATACCGAGCACCGCCGTCCCGAACATATTGACGGCGAATGTGCCCAGCGGAAAAGACGGTGCAATAGCGTTCATGTGTTTAGACGCGTAGAAGCGAAGAAGGCAACCCAGCGGTGCGAACACAAGGGGAAACACCGCACGGAACCTCCAGTGTATGTCGTCCCCAGGTGGCCAAATGGCCAAAAAGACTGCTCCAAGCCAACAGCCAAAGCCGAGAATGACAGCCATGGGATCCAAGACTTTGCGACAGAACCTGAATGGTAGTGTCGGTGTGACCGGTTGTAGTGCCAGCGCTAGCTGCGCACCTACCATCAACCCTGCCAAAGAGATGGCTGGGTGGACGATCATGATAGCAAGGAGAGCCAAGAATGAAAAGCCACCATTCCTATGCGCGACCACCGGATCCACGTGGTAGGGCAAGGTCGGTGAAGGCGACTCCAGGTCATTCGTCAAGGCCAAAAAGCAGTCGCGGATAAAAGAAGAGAAGGACGTGAATGAACCACAGAAACCCGTAGCGAGGCCGATGTAGAGTGGGATCGTCTTTTTGACCTTGGCATGGTCCGACGCTGGCGCTCTGCTTGATCCCCATTCTTCGCGAAACAGTTGACGATCTTCCGCCAGGAAGCCAAGGAAGAACGAGCCTCCAAGGTTGGCCCAGAGCACCCGACTCGGGACCGGCGAATTTGGATATAGTGTAATCGCTTCAACCCCGAGTCGTGCCAATGTTCCAAAGAGTGAGAACAAGACCAACCACGAGATTATGTATATCTCTGTCGCGAGGTGCGAAGGCGTGGACTCTAGGTTTTTGGTTTCGTCCTCGAGCTCTTCCCCCTCTTGTTGCGCCTCGAGACTTTTGCGACGAGCTCGAGACTCTCCATCGACAGGTTTTTCGCCTGAGGCAAGAGGTTCAGGTGCCGCCAATTCTCCGAGCGCGTCTGTCCGATCTCTCGAATAGTGTCGACTTAATCGGCGTTCAACGTCTTCTAGGGAAGGACGACTAAGGTCTTCTGGCTGCGCTGGGGGTGGAACGGCCATTTCAGTCAACTCCTCCTCGTCACTTCCCCTTCTCTGTCTCTCTTCTGCCCTTGCCCCATCGTGATCGTGCATTTTCGCCGCCGTGGATTGTAGACAAAGGCCCTCTCGTGTCTTTTAAAGGGTGGGTTCTTTGTAGGGGTGCTGTAAGTCGATCGTATCACTCTCAACAGGAATCGGTCATGGATGAGTCGGAAGCTGAGGGTGGGCGCCGGTACCTCGAGTATGCCTGCATCAACGGGAGAATCATGACACAGGCGGATTGGGAAAGGTTGGGGGGATCATCGCGTCCATGCTCCTCGCAGGCATGAAGAAGTGATGAGAGAAGGGAAATGTTTGGGCGCAGCGGAGTAAATGCGGAATCGAGAGCAAATTGCCGTGTGAACCGGCAAGCCTCGCACTCAATACCATGACGCGCTTTACCAGCATCAGCATCAGCATCAGAGTCTGCTGTGTTTGCGCACTCAGCCGTCCCCTACCAATTGGGTACCTTGGCTTCACTGTGTATTCGAATGCAGCTGACTGGGCTAACCAAGCCTCTTCCACGGCCCTAGAATTCTTAACTGCTCACCAAGATGAGCTCTCTCCAAACGGGTCACCGCCGAGTGTTATCGAGGCTGACAAGAATGGAAGATCGGAACCCGCCGTGGGACGCTCACCATTGACGCAGAGCACATGCCCCTCCCTTTCATGCACTTCCCCACCAACTGACTGCATGCACTGGTACAGCTCTGCCTGCAATCACCAAACCAGAGATGATAGCACAAAAGAAACGCGGCCATTGTTACATTCTACTCCAAATTCTTTTGTCTAGCTACAAGTTATCGTCGCATGAGTAGAACCTTTCTATACTGGCGCTTCTATCCTTCTCATATCCTCTTATCACAGTTCTGTCTTTCCTGGAGACATGGCGTCGTCTCTTCCTACCAATGTCCACGTTTCTAAACACCCTTGTCTTCGCGCAAAGCTTAGCCAGCTGAGATCCAAGAGTACCAATGCTCGCGAGACAAAGAGCCTAATCCATGAGATTACCTTGTTGTTGGGGACCGAGGCGCTTGGGCAACTCGACATTGAATCGACTGGAACAGTGAGTCCATCTTCAGTGTCGTTTGGGGCATTCGCGCTGATCGAGACCCAGACTGACTCGTGGTTTGATGTAGGCTGAGACCCCCATAGGATATGAGTATCCCTATGAGGCCATAAACTGCTCCAAACTCACCGTTGTCCCCATTCTGAGAAGCGGACTCGGTATGGTTGAAGGTGCGTTGGCCGATTTCCACGAAATGTCTTCCCGGAAACTGATACACGGCGCAGCAATACAAACTCTCCTGCCTGACTCTGTTTCGGTCCACCATCTCGGCCTTTTCCGCGAAAAGATGACTCTGCAACCCGTTGAATACTACAACAACCTGCCTCAATCCCCGGAGTCAGTAGCAAAACTTGCCATTGTCGTCGACCCCGTCTGCGCCACAGGTGCGACAGCATGTGCCGCGATCCAGATCCTGAGGGATTGGGGCGTTGAGAAGATCATCTTCTTGTGTGTTTTGGGAGCCCTCCCGGGTATAGAAAGAGCCGCTGCGGAATGGCCAGAAGGCACACAAGTATGGGCGGGCGGCATAGACGATGCCTTGACTGATAGAGGCATGATAAAACCGGGTCTTGGGGACGTTGGCGATCGTCTTTTCCTGACCCTAGGGAAATAGCGGCAAGACAGTAGTGTCGACTGGCGAGCTGATGGATTTGTTGAGAGCGGGAAACCTCTCGCTTTCTTTGGAGTTATTGGGTTCCGCTGGTGGCCATCCTACCGTCAGCCTCTTCAGATGGCTGCTAGGGAATATAGAACCACCCTGTCACTTGAGGCACATGAGCGCTTGATGTCCAAACTTTCGTTCGACTGTCCCTTCATCTTTCAGAAGTGTTCGAAGCCATCTTTTGGCGCCATCAACCTCCTTGGCACCGAATTTGACTAGGACGAAGCCCCTCGTCTTTGCTGCGGTCCATAGGATACCGTCTTGTTTTTCCTGTTGTCCAGCCTGGTCACCCCCTGTCGCCTGTTCTGGGGTTTCGTTTGACGTCCAGTTTTTGGCCCCGATACGAGGCTGGCTTGCGAATTTCTGTATGAAGAACTCCCCGAGTTTGTTGAAGACATTGCCGTAAATGATCAAGGTTCCAAATATGCCCATGTTGTTCGACTTGTCCAACAATCCCGTGCCACCAAGTCCATCCTCATAGAGCATAACCGCATCGCGAAGCAGGAGTCTTCCTTTTGACTGCTCATCGAATTCCCTAACCTCATTCCTGCCTTTCCAGCTCCATAGTGTCCAGCTCTCGCCCCTTGCGCGACGGCCTTCACTGACCCAGTCCAGCATCAACAAGCTGCTGGTGGCATCAGGCTGCACATAGAATGTCTGCTTCTGCTCGTAGACGCTCTCCGCGAACGGCTGAGTCGGATCTGGCAAATAGCACAAGGAAGCATGAGATCCAATCCTGATGTCGAGGGTTTGTCGGCTGATGACGGACCTCTGAGGAGACTTGAAGATCTTGGTACTTCCTTGCGTGACGAGGACAAGCCTCGTGGCATCTTGCAGGTCGACTTTGACGGCTATCTGGTCACCACCAACCAAACCGCCTCCATAGGTGAGCAGGAAGACGACCGTCACGTGCTTTCCTTCGCTCGAATGGTGAGGATCAGGAGCAACAAGTTTGAGAGGGTATTGGTATGCACATCTCGAAAGAACTTGCCTCTCTGGCGGGAGGAGGGCTAGAAGGATTTCGCCGCTTCCTGATACGGACGAAGAGGTAGCGAATGGTGAACTCGGCAGAGCCATATCTCGCACACCCAACAACCAAAATGAGAAGAATTGACTGACTAGCTCAGTCTTTGTATCATACTGTGAGACAGCTCCTGGAGAATCTCAATGCCGATTACGGTCAGGAAAAGCCTGTCTGAATGTTCAGGGCGCAGTCGGTGGTTGATCAGCTGCGTCTTCCAGGTCAGAATTGAAAGGTGTTGACCGCATCGCAAACACCTTTGCCAGTTGTCTGAGGTCCTGGTACATGTAGAGAAAGCCCCGGAGAATAATAGTTTGGCGGGGTCTGTGCATTCAGAGGCTTTCACCAGTATCAGGCTTAACTAATTTCGTGGTTTGATGGGCCCTAACGGCGCCTGAATGGACGGCTCGACGGGCATCTCTAAGCTAAAGTGCCTGCAATTAAGCTGAAGTCCATCGGTGCCAGTAATTTGGTTGCCCGCACGCAGCACCTATCCGTAGGCGTTCTCAGTACAGCTGGCGCCCGCCGAGTCCCTCGTCCTTGTAGGCAACGAGGCAGTTGCCCGTGTCGCCCAAACCTTCCCTATTGTCTAGGCACGCTAGGTTACTTGTATCGGGCTATCTAATAGGTCTCTGCCACCTCCCACCCTGCGCACTACCACCTCCACCACTCAAAACTCCACTTCAATCCACTCTGCGCGTCACGCGTTGCCCTTGCGTGTTAGTTTTGTTGAGGGAGGCTTCATACCATTGACCTTGTCACGCTTGATTCACACTCTGCGCAATTGCGCATCTGCTCATTCGGTTGTCTAGCCTTCTCTTCATTCATATTTTTGCATTTCCCAAAACGCGCCAATTTGTCTGGTTGCCTTCTCGAGCCCCAGCCACGAGCTCTACCAGTAAACCCCCCACCAGCGCAAACTCATGGAGCTCGCCGACAGTTCACCGAGTGGCTCGCCAGAATCTCGTCGCCGGTCAGGCAGAGTGGTGCGCAAACCAGCAATCTACTCCCAGGAACAACGCGACAACAGCCTGCCCCCAAACGGAATCGGTAAAAGAAAACGAGGAGCGAACCCGCTCGATGGAAATGATGAAGAGAGCGAGCCGGACGAAGAAGATGAGGAAGAGGATGACGAGGACGAATCGGACGAAAGTGAGCCGGACGAGGAGGAGCTGAAAGACCAACGACGAGCGCAGAGAGCAAAAGCAGCAGCGACAAAACCTGCAACAAAGCGCGCAAAGACTACCAGCACAACTCTGGCCATTCGGTCAGCCAATATTCAGAGCAAGCCCGCAGCGAGAAGCTCAAAATCAAGCAAAGCCCGCGCGCGACCCAGCCAGGCACATCAACAGGGACTCTATGCGGACATATTCGGCCGGGGATGCTCGCCCGAAGATGCTGCTTCTTCGTGGTTTGAAGAGGTGCGGAAGGACAGCGTCGGGGCGTTACGAGACCTGGTTAACTTTGTCCTCCAATGTATCGGTTGTAACTCCAAAGTCGAGCAACAGGATATTGAAGACCTGGACTCAGTTCCGAGCAAACTTGGCGATGTACTTCAAGAATACGAGCAGCAAAAGCCCGGAGACTACCCACTTATCTCAAAGCAGAAAAGTTATGTTGGATTTCAGCATGTGCTGGAGGAATTCTTCAGAGCCATCATCAAGGTCCTCCATATGTCCTCGGCCTTCTATGATCAACCTGAAATATACGACAACATCCACGTCTGGATCGCGACAATGTCAGGTGCAAACTACAAGTCATTTCGGCACACTGCGACGATAATCTCCTTGGCTATGAGCACCGCTCTTTGTGAAATTGCGAAGGAGTTGCAGGATACCATGGCAACATTGAAGGCCCAATTAGATGCCGAAAAAAAAAAGAAACGGCCCAACAAGGCCCGAATCAAGAGCATCGAAGAGAGTCAGAGATCTGCCGAGAGTAAGCTTGAAGCTATCGATACTCAGTTGCGAGACGCCTTTGATACGGTCTACGTCCATCGATATCGAGATGTTGAAGATAGAATCCGCGCTCCCTGTGTTACCGCGCTGGGCAATTGGATTGTACTCTACCGCAAAATGTTTCTCGAAGGCCAGTACCTTCGATATCTCGGCTGGGTCTTGAATGATACGAGCGCTCATACCAGACTAGAGGACATCAAGCAACTGAAGAGATTGTTCAGTAACAAGAACAACATTGCCGCACTGAGAGCTTTCACCGATCGATTTCGGTCG